GCTTGGTTTTCTCTGAAATATCTGATTTCTTTTGGGAATTCCCATCTTGCAGCACTATCTAAGGAAAAAAGCAAACCGTTTTGTAATGATTTAAAAAAAAAATTTAGGTTCATCCACTCAATGCTTTCTCTCTATAAAATAAAGGTAAGAAAGGAGAAGAGTTAAATGGATTAGAACCGAGATAATCAAACTTTCTCTGTTCTCGATGCCAAAAGTATCTAACAGTTCCTTTATTAAGTAGTAAGTCTAAATAACTGTATTAAGTATGTACATCCTAACAGCCTATAGCCCTTTGAAAAAATAATACATATAAACTGAAAGAAAAAATGGTATTTTAATTTTATTCTTAAATAAACACCACTGCTTCCTAATTGGATGCGTGTATCGGGCACTCCACAAACCCTCAGACCTTGGAATCAGATTGGACACTGTCATTTCCTGTTCCATGATTTCCCCGTGTTATGTGCTTTAGATCACAGTAAACACCAGAAACTCAGCTTCACAAAGAGTGTCTTTGAAAGGAAGGTAACACAATCTAATGTTGAAACCGTGAACTATCTTTAGTAGTTCAAGCAGTAGGTGAACGATGCTGAGAACTGTAGTGTTTCCCTTGAAAGCTTAAAATATCCTGAGGCACCTCTGGGGGTTTGCTGCAGTGTCAGGGTGCCGCAGCACACAGTTTGGGAACAGCAGGATTAGACTTAAGAATATGCTAAAAAACTGTAGTCAATAAGTTTAAAGGTAACTTTGGTTACACAAATAAACCATCATGGGTGACAGGACCATGTGTCCATTGTAAGGGACACAAATGGGCATGGCAATATATCCTATTTCTTCAGTAACTGAAAGCAATGTGCTCTTACCCACATTACATGGACCTCCACACCTACAAAAAATTTAAAAAAAAATTTTTTTTTTAAATTTTAAGGTTATCTAACAACATACACTTACTGTTTTTTGACGAAACTCCTGATTCAGCAATTGTTGCAGTTCCTGAATATCATCTGAAAGCTGCTTGAATTCTTCTTGCTCTTCAACTGGAACAGAACTCAACACAGTAAAGTAACATAATATATATATATTTTTTTCCCTTTTTTTTATTGTTATGCTTTAAGTGAAAGTTTACAATTCAAGTTAGTCTCTCATACAAAAATTTAAACATACATTGTTTTGTGACCCTAGTTGCTCTCCCTATACTGTGACAGCACACTCTTCTTTTCCACCCAGATTTCCCGTGTCCATTCATCCAGCTCCTGACCCTCTCTGCCTTCTCATCTCACCTCTGGACAAGAGCTGCCCATTTAGTCTCATGTATCTACTTGAGTTAAGAAGTACACTCTTCACGAGTATCATTTTATGTCCCATACTCCAGTCTAATCTTTGTTTGAAGAGTTGGCCTTGGGAACGGTTTTAGTTTTGGGCTAACAGAGTCCGGAGGCCATGTCTTCTGGGGTCCCTCCAGTTTCAATCAAACCATTAAGTCTGGTCTTTTTACTAGAATTTGAGTTCTGCACGCCACCTTTCTCCTGCTCCATCAGGGACTGTCTGTTGTGTCCCCTGTCACGGCAGTCACTGTGGTGGCTGGGCACCATCTAGTTCTTCTGGTCTCAGGCTGATGCAGTTTCTGTTTTATGTGGCCCTTTCTGTCTCTTGGGCTAATACTTTCCT